CTTTTTTTTTTTCTGCAATGCTATAAAATGATGAAGGTATATGGGTTTTTACCTATACCATTAAAAAAAATTATTGTTTTTTTGCAGGTCTTAAAGGTAGGTTTTACTGAAAGCTAAAACAACGAGATAACTCTACTGGTAAATACTATTGAGCATGCTAATTGATATATATATATATATAGTTGCGATTGTTGCATTCCAAAAAGGGGAAGCATAGTAGTGATACAGTAGATATTTATCGTTGAATTTAGAAGGCTTTTGTGTGACCAGTAATTTAGTTTAGGAAAGCTACTGTATTTATGTTTTTTTTTTTTTTTTTAGAAGCTGCTATTTGGTTTGTTGTAGAGTTTGATTTTCACTCGTAGTGAAAGAAACTAGTTGTTTCTTCTGGTTCAATTTTAACCTTAAAAAAATATAACTATTACCCCCGCTTAGTTGAATTGCTTGCTGTAGTTCAAGACCGAAAAAAAAAAAAGAATGAAAAAGAAAAATGCACTTATTTTTGAAAAAAAAAATTTCAAGTGGACAATCTCTTCAACTAGTTGTTTTTTGGAAATAAAACCACACTTTTTTTTTTTTTACAAAAAAATCAGTTCCTTTTTTTTTGAACGGGAAGGGGGGGGAGAGGGGGGAGGAACGGTGGGGTGGGCAGTGGATGGATTCATTGATTGTTTTCACGCTTTTAAAAGTGGTAAAAGTGATTTATACGTTTAATATGGTTTATCGGAAATCTAATCCAGAAATTTTTCTAAAACGGTAGTGCCTACTGCTGTAATTCATCCAATTAAAAAGGTTTTGTCACCGGCGATTTGTCATCAATAAGAAAGACTATAATAGATAAAAGCGTAAAATCTGCCAAATAACAACTGTTGACTGAGACTGTCCTACTGCACTCTTACAAGTATACTCATTTTTTTTTTTTGACAAATGCAATTACGATACTTACAGTTACGGTTTTTTTTGGTTTGGGTCTTCTTTTGTAATATTATTATCAGTTCTGCTTGTTTATTTTTTTTTTT